GCCCAAGTGCCGTGTGTTAAGCTACCCTCCACCACTCCACTACTCGTGCAGGATACTTTATTCTTGAGGCTAATAGGAGCCCGGGATAGTTTCTGAAGGAACGGCGAGGGTAAAAAAATCTCAAACGTCATATTTTAACAGTACTTATTATGTTGTTTCTTGTCTAAAAATAACATTTAATTCCGTTTGTGCAAAAAGTCACTTTATTCTTAGGCATAACAGAGGACCCCACACTTTCCTTATGTAAAGTAGCAAACGGTCAAATTTTCTGAAATTTTGGTATGTTGTGGCATAGTCTAAATTTATAATGTATTCTTTAAATTGTGGTTGTGGTACTGAATCTAGTAAGCAAAAGTGTCAGTGGGTCCAACTCAAATACTATGACTAGTTTTTGATATTGAAAACTTCCGAGTTTTTCGGAATTTTTATTTTCCAAGCTAGATTGAATTTCATTGCGTTTAATATGTTTTAGTAATACTCGTATATTTTAAATATGTAAAATTACAAATATATTTAATTACAGGTAGTTTTTTTGCAAAATCTCACCAAATCTATTGTGACGTCAGGGAAACATATTTTCAAAACGTACCTACCACTCAATATGGTATTTTGGCGACAAAATATTGGACAGTACACATTTCTTATACAGGGTGTTTGATAATGAAAACCAGAACATAAAATTATTTTTTTAAGGAATAATTCAAAACCCTGTAGTTATGAATTGCTTTTCGTGGATAGTAATACTTCTAAAATATGTATACCTATTAGCTTTAAAATATACAAGGCGGCTTATTTGTTGGAAGATATTTTATTTTATTAAAAGTACAAAAACAACGAACACCATGTATTCTAAAATTTCCCTGGTCAAATATAACCATTTTCTCAGTATATATTAGATTAGATTAGATCAGGAATTGGACGTTATTTGTCCTTGTCCATCGCGACCTTTTTAGATCTATTGTGGGAGTCCGTTTGTTTTAGAGTATGTCGTCTAGCCTGGTCTTTTTTATTAGACTTAGTAGCTTTGACAGTGGCTCCCGCATGTAGTTGCATGCATTTGACTTTTTTTCGCCCAATGTTAGAAACCTCATTCCAACCAGGTTTCCTCTTCTTCTTCACAGAACCTGCACAAAGTTGCTTCTTCTGCTGGATTGATGACACTTGACGCTTTTGATCCAGTAGGTCTTTCGTGAACTTGGCCTTGATGAACTGTTTGGCCTGTCTCAGTCTTGGATAGTTGTTTCACCGTTCCTGAGACTCTTTTTGCATCCATTGTTCAATGGATGCCTTGCCCAATGCCTAAGCAACTCCACAAAAGGGTTCGGGGGCGATCATAGATTTATCTGAACCTTCTCGGGCTAATTCGTCGGCCTTTTCGTTGCCCTGATATCCCTCATGGCCTGGAACTCAGGCTAGGGTCATCTTATTTTGACTACTTAGCTCTGCCAGGTCCTCTAGACACTCTTTCACCAGTCGTGATTTGATTTCTGGTGAGAGAATTGCCTTTAGAGCTGCTTGGCTATCAGAGTATATGGCAATATTTTTGCCTGATACTTGCTGATTTAATATTTCTCTTGCACAGTGTTTTATGGCTATTAGTTCAGCCTGAAACACTGTTGCATATTTTCCTAAACTCAGCGAAATAGTTGTTTTCGGCTTGGGTCCATAGATTCCAGCACCGGCTCCTTCCTTGGTTTTTGAACCGTCTGTGTACTAGACGAGTTTAGCCTGTATGGAAGGTTCCTGTTTCCAGGATTCTCGGGCTGATATTTGAATTTGAAAATTTCTTTCAAATTTGTATGTGGTTATGGCTCTATCAGTAGGTATAGCTAGAATATTATCCCTTTTTACTTGCTGATATAGCCTTGTAAGGTCGGTGCTATGTAGTTGGCTCATTGGGTTTTGTCTCTGCATTAGCCTGTGAATAGCTGAGCTGGTTTCTCTTTTTATGAAGATATGCAGTGGCGTGAGATTTAATACCTCCATTGCTGCGGTCGGCGTAGTGCGCATAGCCCCTGTAGCACTTAGACAGGCAAGCCGCTGCATGCTAGTGAGTTGGCCTATTGCACTTGCCTGCGTAGTTTTGGTTACCCACGCCACTGCACCATAGGTTATCATGGGTCTTATTACCCTTGTGTATAACCATATAGTCATTTTGGGGTTTAGACCCCAGTTTTTCCTACATATTCTTCTATAGCTTACGAGAGCTATTGTAGCTTTGTATGTGAGTTTTTTGAGATGTTGATTCCACGTCAGCCTTTGGTCAAATATGACTCCGAGGTATTTGGTTTCTGTGACGAATGGGATAACTATGTTGTTTAGTACTACAGTATATATTAAATTTAACACAGTTCAAAGAGGTATGAATTTTAAATCCGAGATACAAGGCGTTAAAGTGGAGAATTGCTGATTTTGGTTATTTTGACTTCAAACCGAAAAGCTAGGTTGTGTATGTAGACTATGTAAGTTTAATATACGTTTTGCTGAGATGTCCATTAAAAGAAACAGTTTAAAATATTTAAAATATTTTTGCAAACACTCAATAACTCTACACCCATTCACAATTTTAAGGTCAAAAGATTTAGCTATGTGTACTTTTTATATAGGGTGAGGTATCCAGCGAACCAGCAAAAATTTTTGAAATTATTAAAACGAGACCTTGCACTTCTTTAGTGACTTTTGAGTCAATAACATTACATTAGGTGTATAGCCATAAGATGTTAAAATATACAGGGCAATCTGTTTTATAATTACCTACAAAATATATCCGTATACACATCATTTTCCGATATTAGTGACAAGTTTTTATATACGAGACAATAAGGTTGATATTTGTCCAATTTCTTATGTAGGTGCAATTTAAATACTACCTACTTCGTACAGATAGTACGAACGTCGTTTATTGAATCAACTATGACAAAAAATAAATTATACTTCAATCTCATTTCCACGTCACCACAGAGATAAGAGGTTTTGGTACATTTTTTATAGTAGTTTCCTCTATAGGTCTAATTTTTCGTTGGAATTGCGCGTTAAATTGTACAGAAGGTTTTATAGAATAAGTATTTAAATTACACCTACATAATAAAATAGATGATTATCAACTTTATTGTCACCATGTATAAAAAATTGTCACAAATATCGGAAATAATGTATATACAGGGTGATTCAAAATTGAGTGCAAATATTTTAAGAGCATATGTACCAGTCAAAAATAATAAAAAAAATTCATATAATCGTATGTCCTAACTTGCTTCATTTTCTAGATACAGGGTGTCAAAGTTAAAAAAAAAATCGTTTTTTTAACAATTACTAATTAAATAAAATCACACTTTGAGACGCCACTGGAATAAATAATGAATGAAATTTCATAAGACAAAAATTTAGACAGATCTATTTGGCGACAATCTCCATCATTTAGTAATTAGTTTTTTACTTGTTTTAATAGGGTCAGGCACATATTTTGAGTAAAGCTCAAGAGGCAATAAAGTTACATTATTGATCGCTTAATCTAAGAAAAATTTTTAACTGTCAAAAAAGCAGTGCCGTACCATAATTTTACCTATAAGTATCAAGTAGGTAGCCCCCTGAGACACCACTGGAATTACTAAATTTAATTTATACTCACCAAAGGAAGGCCCTTATGAGGACAAATAAGTCTACCAAATTTTATTTAAATCGGCTGAAAGGTTTTTGAGTAATTGATAAAAAAACCGATTTTTTTAAAAAAGTTTGACACCCTGTATCTAGAAAATGAAGCAAGTTAGGACATTATGAAAAAAATTTCTTATTTTTGGCTGGTACATACGCCCTTAAAATCTTTGCATCACCCTGTATATAGATATATTTTGTAGACACCTAATTAAAATATATTTAGAATAAACTATATATTTTAAAATTGTAAACGGGTAGATATTAACTTGATGAAATAATTTCTCTGTGGCACAAATTTGCAAAAATATATTGTGATTTATTCGTAAATGTCAATATTTTAAGCTGTTTCTTTTTATGGACCACTAATCAAAACAGTATTATATACTGAAAAAATGGTTACGGGGTAATTTTAGATTTTGAACTTTTCTTAAAATATAATATCTTCTAACAAATAAATCACCTTGTATATTTTAAAGCTTAGATGTTTACATATTTAAGTGATATTACCTTTCCCAAAAATCAATTCATAAGTACAGGATTATTAATCATTGAAAAAAATTATTTTATGTTGTGGTTCTCTCTATAGAACACCCTGTATAAGAAATGTGTACTGTATAACATTTTGTCGTCAAAATACTATATTGTGTAGTATTTTTTAAAAATATGTTTATTTGACGTCATAGTAAAATTAGTGAGATTTCGAAAAAAAAACTGCCTTCATACATTTGTGAATAACCCTGTGACTAAAAATATTTTTAACTCTATGTATATATTAATGTATTACTAAAACATGTAGTTAACGTGTTTATGTAACAGAAATTCAATCTAGCTCGTAAGTTTGAAAATAAAAATTTGGAAATACTAGGCAATTTTCAACTTTAACACCCTGCACATCAAAAATTATTCATAGGATTGAGTTGAGTTTATTGATAATTTTGGTTACTAGATCGACTACAATAACATACCAAAGTTTCAAAAAATTTAACCAGTCGCAACTTTACATAAGGAAAGTGTCCTTTGAATTCAATTAAATATTGCTTCAGACAGTTTGGTTGATTACAATGATTTTTTAAGGTCCATTTGCACCACTTGTCGTTAAGAAATAAGTCAAGCTTAAAATGACATTTCTCCATTGACAACGTCATTTTAAGCTTCGGTTATTTCCATTGATCTGGCAACCTAGGGATACGACATGCGTAAGCGAAAAGTGGGACCGGTCCGCCATTACTGTGAGTGCAAATTGTCAAATTTTATAGGTTATATTTTTAGTGTCATTTGTATAATTAAATTTGAATTTAATTTGTGTTTGAGCAAATTTTGAGTGTTACAAACTTATAAAGTATATAATGCCTTGCTGTGTTATACGTTCCTGCTCTAGCGACAGACGTTTTTGTGAAAAATCGACTAGAATAACGTTTCATAGGTTAGTATCAAAATTATAAATATTATACAGGACAGTATTATGACAGGTTTGTATAAAATGTGTAAAAGTATGCTTTTAAAAATGCAAAAAAAATCATCTATCAACTTTTGGGCCTACCTATATTGGAATAATACTTTTTCCTACGACCACTTAGGAAAGTGACACATATCACACTATATAGACCTATGGAAAGTGCCCTATATCACACGCGTATGAATAAGAATTTACTTTCCACCCAAGTGAGAATATGCTACTTTCCGCAGTAGCTGTCAGAAAATGTCAAACACATAATTTCTATTTTGATCTATGTAATGTCCATATTAATACTAAAATCGATATGATTGTTAAATTATTGTAAATTAGATCCTAGATATTTATCTTTAACAATTATTTTTAAAATAATTTTAAAATAACTAAGATATATTTGCTTTTTATTCTGGTTAAACACATAAGCGATTAGATCAATCAATTACCGTAAGGCCTGTTAGCTCAGTTGGTTAGAGCATCAACTTTGCAATTTGAGACCGTCCAACGACCGCGATCGAATCCTGGCTGTGCGAGATTTTTTTTTTTATTTTTTTTTTTATTTTTTTTTATTTGTTTAGAAATTATGAAAATTTAATAAATACGATTATTGTTGATTATTTTTTTAAATACCTTTTAATTATTATAATAATCTGGTTTTACATTTTTTGATGAAATTATTTTGTGGTCGTAGGAAAAATATTGTACATCACTTGTGTGAAAAGTGACATTTTTCACACGAGTGGGAAATATTGTCGCACGAGGCGTAAGCCGAGTGCGACTATCACACGAGTGTGGAAAATCACTTTTCACACAAGTGATGTACAATATACTATTTCATACGAAATAATATTTATAGATTTCCAGAAAATCCTATAAAACGTAGCGCGTGGATACAGTTTGTCAACAAGTATAATTGGTAACCTTCTAAATTCAGCAGTATATGTTTCAAGCATTTTCTTGAGAAGTACATTAATCGTACGCCATTTAATTTATAGGCATTCTATATTCTTATTTCTATTTAAATATAACCTACATTTGCTGGCCTGCCACCAATTTTATTTATTAGTTCTACAGCTGATTGAAAAGTAGAGCTTCATGTTTTGTGTATGCATGAGTATTGTTTGTTTTATTATAGTTAATTTAAAACAATATTAATATACCTTTTTAATTACCTATAATTTGTTTCAGATTAGTGCGTTTAAAGGAATTGGTGAAAATGAAGCGATTCGCCAACTTTGGGGATGTGCCAGAAAAGAGACATCAAAGTTATTCAACGGTTCCAGAATAAAGCATTAAGGAACATCGTCAATGCACCCTGGTACTGCCACAATACTGACCTTCATAGGGACCTTAAAGTGGAGACTGTTGAAAATACAATACAAAAATTTGTAGTCACCAACAACAACTGTTCCAGCATGGAAACCTCGAGATTATCCAGCTCCTCAACAATGCCAAATCTAATAAGAAGACTCAAGAGACCAAGCCTTTTGAGTTAGTTCAGTGATGTTAAAGCATAGTATAGTGCAGTTAAGTGATTTAGACTCTAAGGTATACTAGATAGTAGAATATCAATTTGTGAAGTTTTTCATCCCTTGATAAGTTAGAATAAAATTTCTAATTGATTTTAATGATTAGATTGTAATAATCGTAAATGTTTCTTTACTTGGGGCATTTATTAAAAAAAAATGTTGCAAGACGCACTATACAAACTTAAATATCACATTTTCAAAACTTTTGGTTTTTTATCAACAATAATTATAAACGTCAGTTGGTTACTTAGTACTACACTTGTCAACTACGTTTCCTTTTTATGATAAATTTAAATTAATAATATGCCAAAATAGTGTACCTTTAATGATTTTGTCATGAATATTCGCGAGCTGCTTGTATGGAGTATCAGTGACAATTTCCATACCGACAAGTTCCAAGGCACCAAACATTCAGTGCTGTGTTTCGACATATTCCAACACATGGCATACTATGTTAATATATTTTTTGATATTTAAACTCTTGTAGCTTGGTAACCATGTAGAATTGGATATTTGTTCATAGGACATTTTATGCTTGAAATGAATTCAGGAATATGATATTTAAGTTTGTATAGTGCATATTATGAACATACTGTATATAAGTTCTTATAATAATAAATATTTAACATCAATACTCACTTAGTTTTTTTTTGAGACTAGCAACAAAACCATAACCGTTTGTCTAGTATTAAAAATAAATATCACTCATATATATGGATAAGAAAATATTAAAACTTTATTCCTTGTACACTTTTATTTAATCACAGTACTCATTATTTGCATTTACAATATTTGCTTGTCGTTCATATGCCCCAGTCTGTTTTGTTCACCTTTTCTAGTGGCTTTTTCTGCTAAACTTTAGTCCCTATTCTACCTTCACGTAGGTAATGAATTATTCAACCATTTAGTCAACAAAGGGGTTTTACTTGTTTTACAGTAATATACTTATCTTTAATGTTCAAGTTTTAGAGTTTGAACTTGGATTAGGCCATTTTCGTCAATTTTGTTCTTAGAGCTTTTGGAAAAACACTTGGGAAGTACTCTTACAAATTTATTTCTTATTTTGCCTAGCGAAGAAATTGTGTATAAGGAAATATTCTGGTTTTTACCTCAGTGATCAAGAAAAGCGCTTACAGTGGGTACTTTCCCTAACTCGATAAACTTTTATTACCTAGATGTTGGCCTCCCTTTATCACCAGCCTACAATTTCAACTCTTTTGCTGTTAACTTTAACTTCATCTGTGACTTTAACTATGATTGAGACTTCAACTTTATCTTCACATTCTTTGTCTGACTTTCAATCATACATGCATGATTATTGTGCACAGACCAATTAAATTGGACCGGCATGCTTGTGGTGCATGTTGTGTGTTACTACGGTAGGCCTTTACATAAGTAGCCATAATCTCTGCAGATGGTAAGAAGCCCAGCTCAAACCAACTACCATAATATCGTCGTTGGATCTATAGGTCTCAAGTAAGATCTCTTCATATTTTACATTTGTTAGAAGTGCACCTGCACATCGCTGGTTGTGGCTTCGCTGATTTACTGAATGTCTTGGATAAAGATATACACCTTTCAGTCTGAATCTACAAAAGGACCAAGACCAAGTAAGATTAATCCACATTTTGATTTCCTGAATAGTGCATCTACCTACACAGAGATTGTTTATTAGCCATTTTCCGCGAGCCTTGCATTAAGTTTCGTATCTGATTATCGAGCTTTTAGTGTATGAACATTTGTTCTTAATTTCGAGAAAGCTGTTAATTAAAGTAAGGTTAGATTACTTAACATTTGCGACCTTGTACTTTCCGATTTAAAGACAGAAAGCATTGGGCTCATAGAAAAACGAAAAACTAAAGATTGGGCTAATTATGTGCCCTAGTGCAAACTTGTGACGACTAATCCAATAAATTGAACTCTCTTTACTTTTGTCGCTTATGTGAATCAAAAATGTACTATTTATTTTTTCTGTGAATGATTTCAACGCTTTAGGGTTAATTTCACCATTGTGTTAAAGTTTAAACTATTAATTGAAGATTAAAATTACATTTTATATAAAAATGTCATTTTAAACTTTGTTAAACCCAATGGTGGAATCGGCCCCAAGTTAGTTATATCATGGTCATTGATTAGTTGCAATTTTGCAAATAATATATTCTCCAGCGCTTAATAGCCACTTGAGTGATAATTAAATCAGTTATATTTTATTTCTCTCATTTACTTTATTCAGCACCTCTCGGCTGAAAACCGGACATATTTAAGCTTTTAAACCCCCTTCTTTTATAACCTCGGCCTTCCACCACCTTTTAAGTCAATGTCTATAAAAAGGAAATTCATTTTTTTTATAATTCAAATAATGATACTTAACCAGAAATAGTACAATAAAAACTTGTAAATCCGGTTCTGCTCTTCCGCCATTTTAGTGAGTGCAAAAGCCACGCCTACCGGTCCCACTTTTGTATATCAAAAATAATACATATGACGTATCCTTACGTTGCCTTATCAATGGTTATTTCTTAACTTCTAGCGGTGCGAATGGCCCTTAATGGTATAAATTAGTACAAATTCAGTCCTATTCAATTCTACCTTTGTTTTATTTTTCTTAATATGGTTCTGTCCTATTATGCTACCAGTGCCATGTTTTTTTTTTTAATGGTACATGGTACAACATTTTTAATAAGTACAAAACAATGTACCTAATAGATCTAAATCGATTTTGCTCAGTTAATGCTGCCAGCTCAGAAGAGGTTTCCTTTCTTATAAATTTGTTTAAATAAAATTTGTTTTTCGTCTTGGCCCGCCAATGGTTTTGCGTTTAGCATACACACGAGTCTCGCGTGACGCCTTCCCCATAATGTCAAACCCCTTCAATTTAATTCCAAGTTATAAACCGTTAAATTAAACATTTTCCCATGGGATCGTCTTTCTCTCAAGAAAAATGCATGCGTGTATTGGAGCGCTTCCACAAACTAGGTACATAAAATCAACTTGATAGGGAAATCAAGAGAGTAGTAGTCTTCTTTAGATGAAGGTTAGGCGGTGTTTAAATGCTAAACTTATCTAAGGACATTTTTTATTCACCATGGTGTGCGATTTATTTAATAAGTCTGGAGGGGTGGTCTTAATTGCCAGGAAATTAAATTATTCGAATCTATTCTGACTGATGATGTAATTTCCACGTATTAAAAATGATATTCTTCTAAGGGCCAATTCCACCGTTGTGTTAAACGAAGTTTAAATTACTAAACGTAGATTAAAATGACATTGTTAATGTAAATATGTCATTGTTAATGTAGAAATGACATTGTATTAAAACGGTTTAAATAATAACTTTGAGGAAGTTCTCTTATAGGATAAGTACCATCACTTAAAAGACAAGCTGATTTAAAAAATCTTCGTTAAACTCTTTCCAAATGGTTAATGTGATTGGAGTATATCGGACTACAAACGATATTGGCATATTCTAATTTTGACAAAACCAGCGAAGAGAAAAGAATTTTCATCGTTGAAAAGTCATTGAATAATCTCATATTCCTAAAATTCGATAAGCAGAAGCAGTTGTTTTTTCAATATGCGATGTAAACGTTAATTTTGGATCAAAGAAAACTCCAAGATCTTTAATCAGTTCTGGTCGATTTAATGTATAATTTTGTAGGTCATAATTATATAGTATTGGTCCGTCCTTTCTAGTAAATGTCATTACATTACATTTTTTAACATTTAACGGTAACATATTTCTTTGGCACCATTCGTTTAAGCTGTTAAGATTCTCTTGAAGCAATAAACAATCATTATAACTAGAGATTTCATAAAAAAATTTTGAGTCATCGGCAAACAATAGATTTGTGACGCTCAAATTACAAACAATATCATTAATAAAAAGCAAAAATAATAAAGGCCCTAAAACCGAACCTTGCGGGACGTTTGTTTGAAATTCAAAAGCACTGAACATAAAGGTAACGATCTGATAGATATGACTGTAAAACATTTAATAAGGAGCCATGAAATCCAAGTGCTGAAAGTTTACTTATTAGAAGTTTATGATCAATTCTATCGAATGCTTTAGAGAAGTCAGTGTAAATAACATCGATCTGACTTCTTCTATCCAAAACTTCAGAAATATAATGAGTTATACAGATTAGATTAGTCACAGTAGAGCGATCAGCAATAAAACCATGTTGGGTTGGACTAATGATTTGGCGAAACTGAAATGAAAGGAAAGTATGCACAAGTATTTCAAAAACTTTCGAGAAATTGTTTAGAATTGTGACAGGGCGATAGTTGGATATATCATTTTTGCTGCCATTTTTAAAGATTGGACTAACTCTAGCTAACTTCCACGTTTCAGGAAATTGTTGAGTTTTAAAAATAAGGTTGAAAATAATAGTAAGAGGTTTGCAAAATACCTGTGCACAGTCTCACCAGAAATGCCGGAACATTATCCGATCCACTTGTTGGCTTAGGTTTCAATTTTTTAGTACTTCAGCTTCCGTTACTTGGGTAATGTTAACTATATTGTTATAATTTTGGTAGGTATTCTAAAGACTCTTTAACAGTATTATCAATTGGTGTATAATTTCATGAAAAAAACATTGCAAACGAATCCACTATATCTTTAGGTTGAGTTAAACGCTTGTTTTCGAAATTCATAGTGTTGGGTATCGTTGACAGATCACCCTTTCTGAAATGTATAAATGAGCAAAAAGTTTTAGGATAAGCCTTAATATTTTCTTCATAACATTTCACATAATTACAGTAAGCTAACTTAGTTTTAATTTTAATGTGAGTTCTCAGTTGACTGTAAATAATATAATCTGAATTATATTTAGTATTCTTAAATTTTTTCCAAGCTTTACTTTTTAGTTTAATACTATTTATGATTTCAAAATTAAACCACTGAGGATAATGTTGGTTAGTTGCAGTCTTTTTTGGAACGTGTTGGGCAAATATAGAGTTTAACTTATCGTAGAATGCGTTTAAGACTTCATCAACATTATAAACGCTATCTAGAAAAGACCAGTCTGTTTCTAATAATATTTTATAAAGATTTCAAAAATCTGCTTTTTTAAAATTGAATCCATTTGGAGAAGCCGGTGAAGGCTTTTTGTGCCGCCGAAAGGGTAGCTCAATAATTAGTACTGGATGATAAGGATCAATTGGTACAAGTGGGTCTGCTGCTTTTTCTACTTTACAATCTTTTATATTAGAGAAAACAAGATCTAGTATTCGAATAAAATAATTTCGTACTTCATTGAATTGCAATAAACCGTAGCATTTTTCTAGTTAAATTTACCTGTGACTGAAATTTATATGTTGCATATTCAGTAATGTTAAAGTCACCAACAATCAATAATTTATTATCGTACAATTGACACAGCGATTCAATTCCATCCAGCAGAATTTCAAATTCCTCATTTGATGTATTGGGTGGAATATACAAGTTCAGGACGTACAAGTATGTTTTCGTACCTAATACAGAAATCATATCAATGTTAAGCAAATCTTTTAGAAAATCATAACAACTTAAGTCATTTAAAGATGCAGATAATGTTTTCCTTACAGCTAATAGAGAACCTCCTCCCCTGGTATTATTCGTCAAAGCATAACGTCTATCCCACATACAAAAGAAAATCAAAGTATGTGGTCTATCCGATCTAAAGACATCGTATTTTGTCAAATCAAGTATTTCATAGTCACTAATTGAATTATTCAGCCAAGTTTCGGTTAGAGCCACTATATCGTATTCACCGGAAATAGTAGAATTAATATAGATATCTTCTGTTTTAGTTCTCAAGCCTCTGACATTTTGGTAGTAGCACTGAATTACGAGTATATGGGGAGATTCAGAAACAACTTTGGGCGCTGGTTGCTATATTGGAGACAATATATTAGTTTTAAATTTATGGCAATTAATACAATATTGATTTGATTTGGGACATTGATTTAATTCATGGTTTTGGGCACATATGGGACAAATCACAATAGTTGACTTACAATGGTTTGCTGAATGGTGATATCCAGAACACTTAAAACATCGCCTTAAATCAATTGCATCATATACACAACAATAGTCATACCCTAAAAATAACTGATGCATCACTTTGTTATAACTAGGAATATCGCATTAAACAATTGCTTGAAAGAGTTTATTATTTTTTTTCAGTGGTGTACAAGCAATAAACTTTAAGTCGCCAGAAATGACATTTTCGTTCTGGCCTTTTAAACACTTAACAAGTTCTTCATCTGTTAATCTTACGGACATTCCTACAATTTTAAAGCGTGGATATAATACTGGAACTTCTTTTATGGTATAGTTATCAATGAGTTTTTCATTTGCCAGTGTCACAAATGTATTACAATCCTCTGATTTTTGACAGCTGACTACCAGCCCACCATCTTTTACTTGAAGAACTTTGCTTAGTACTTTCCGTAGTACTGAGGAAAAAAAAAAGCAGCAAGATTTTGACAAAATGGTGAATGCGCCGCGAAAAATTTTCGTCTGCGGCGCTGTGCTTACTGGCCCACTGTATTTTTATACAATCGCTTCCTCTTCCAAAAATGTCACCACACGCCACTGAAAAAATTAGACCTCTACACTGATTTTGTTTTATTTCCTGCATCAGACACATATAAGACGATATACATTTTAAAAATGGTAAAATTAGTTAATTTTTTAGTTTTTTTTTTACCGAGAAATGGTACGCCCCTAAACAAAAGGGGTTGTTTACCTTCCCCTTTATGCCTGCTTCCTCACTTCCTCGCAACAAAAAGTTTAAATCAAAATCCTATAAATTGGCGATATAAAAATGACATTAATTTATTTTAAGAACCTTTTGAGTTGCCACTTTTAAGATGCTCGGTAAAGTTTTTTATTTTCACCGTGTATAGTAGGTAAATCAATTAAACATAAAATCATTAAACGCATTAAATCTGCACTATAAATTGACCACATTTAATAAAATTTCATTATTAACTAATACTTGCCTCATTTAATAAATTGGTACCTGCATAAGATAATCCTTCTGACACTTTTTGTTCACATAACGAATAATGATGAAAATCATTTGTTTGTTTGTCACTTTTATTGCTTGTATCAAATGGGTTTACTTATAGAAATGCTGATGAACCCCATAGAATGAGGCAGTTAGTAAAGGTACCTTATAATAAACCACCACCACGACAGAGAATGTATATATCAAGAGATGGAGTAGTTAGAGATAGTATAGTAGATGGCAGTGTACCTACACGTAACCCAGCACCCGAAGGTAACAAAAAATATTTATGTAGAACATTTTTTACATGTTCTATTCTACTAGTAAACTTAATTAATATATTCATAAACGCAAGTGACTTAACACTTGTAAGTGCATGAAGAACTATATTCATTTTAAGATTATTGCCAACTTTATTGTATGTGACGATCCGAATACGTGGCAGATGAAAAAACAGGAAATTTTATAAAAACAGGTCTATTTGTGTGAAAATCTTAAAAGGCGTTCGCTTATATTTTTAATAAAACACGTTCTTTTTCTAAAAAAGCTCTAATATCTCAAATAAATCATTATTTATAAGTTTGGATTTAAAAAGCGTGACATTTGAGTAAAAAGCGTGGCATTTAGGTAAAATTTTGTTACTTTAGCGTGACGCGTGACAGCAAGCTAAAAAGCGTGGCAATCCCGCCTAAAGCGGGACGTCAGACTGTTGGAATATCGACCTGTTGGGATGTCGCTATCGCAGGAAAGTATTTAGGCCACAGTTGATTTCAAAGATTTTAATGTAAAAGAACAAGGTTTTACTTTTGGCAATCCTTTTTTATTATTATTTTCAAAAAGACATTACATCAAAGTCAAAAACTAGTGAACAGTACATAAAAAAAAATGCAACTAAGGCTTGAAGATTAATATAAAATCTTATAACACAGACAATCCTAATGTCCTTCTAGATGTTCAAGATTATCCTAAAACATCTACATATGAACGGTCAAGAAATTACGGCATTAGCAGGAAGACTGTTCAAAACATTTTTAATAAAAATAAGTTCCACCCTTATATAATTCAAAACCACCAAGAAATAGTAGAAGATGATTTTAACAATTACAATTAGACAATTTTTTCTTGTATTACATTGGTATTGTGGTACTTTCTTCTTTCTTAGTATTCTTTAAAAGAAGAAGAAATTAGCTTTTCTCTGACATATTACTCAACTTTAAAAAAATTCAAAATGGCGGCGATACGCTAAATATTGACGTCAGATAAATTTGACATGTCCTCTAAAAAATGCCGAATACAATCCTATTCATCGCCCTATAATTTCATATTTTTAAATTCATTTGTTTTAAAGAAAATACCTTGTTGTCAGATTTTTTCGCTACCCTGTATATTTTTTAAATAACAATATTGCATGTGTATTTATCTTTGAATACATATAGTCATATAAATTGGGTTCCATTTGTACTGGGGGGCTACTGCTTTAATGTATATTGACCATGATTTTCATGGGTAAATATTATTTTTAGATGTGAAATATTATTTATGAAAATTATTAGATTTAATACTAGAAAATATTATTATCAGTGACGTAGCTAGGTTGAGTGACGATGGGTATCAGACCCAAAAGTCGTCTCGTGGTAGGGCGTAAACAATCAAACCCAATAAGTTTAAGGTAATTTTTTAATAAAACAATAATCTCAGAGGAACATACCTACTATTACATAATAAAAATGATTTTATCAGGATTTGCTTTCTGCCTAGAGATTGATCAGATAATCAAAACTTAAAGCCCGAGCTTGACTGCGACGTAGTACTCCTCAAATAATTTTTAATAAATCTTATACAGTGGCACTTTCAAAAATTTTATCTCTAAAAGTAGATCTGAAGTTAAATATTCCGACTGCAAGATCAGTTGCATCTAAACCTTGCTGGCGTCAGGTAGCAGTTGCTGCCCTGGTAGCTACGCCTCTGATCATTACTACATCACCAAAAACTATACCTATTTCTTAATAGTATACTTCTAAATCGTTTTTAACAGTTCCTGTTAAGTTTCGACATTTACCTGGTTTTCACCTGGCAGTAGTGAAATACTCATCGAGATCCCAATGGAAATACTGGACCAAATTGTCATAAAAGTCACTAATAAAATAACATTTCTTGTTTTACTAGATCACGTGGGATACGAGTAGATTTATAAGTGCTGACTTTTATATTATCTAATAATTTATAATTTTTATTTTGTTTCAGGGTGATTTAATAAAAAACTCTGGCATTTTTTAGACAAACCTGTCTATTATTATTGTAATGTGTAACATAAATATTTACACTAAATAAATTATACCTACTAAACTGTTTGGCTTTTATTTAATACTGGATTTATATTGCAAAAAAAATATATATAAAAAACAAGACATTAAAATCCAATGAATTTCTGTGTATGTGTAAAAGAAGTTGCCTACCTATCAAACTCTTAGTAAATACATGTAGTTAGTTCTACCTCCATTATCTAAAGGCTGTATGTCACGATACTAAATTAAGTACTAAATTTAGAACTAAATTAATGCATTTTTTAAGTACTAAAAAAATTCACGTTGCAAACAGCAAATTTAGTACTAAATTTAGTGCTAAAAAAAGTCATTAATTAAGTACTAAAAGTGCGCCGAAATGTTGCGCAGAAGTTTTTTATAGAAAAAGTTGACACGACGGTATTTTCTGTACCCTTTTATTTTTAATTAGCGACAATTTCACATTATCGCCTTGAATAAAGTTCGCCTGTTTGATTTTGTAGGTTTTATTGTGTTTTTCCGTGGTTTTTATGCTGTATTTGGTTGTCAAGTCAACTAGTATCAAATTGATAATAAAAACACCATTTACTTCACTTGTCTGTTTTACACAGAATATTTCATTTCTCTACTAATTTCACGTATTAATACGTCAATGCGCGTGCGCCCATAGTAAATTTAGTACTAAAAATTGGTATCGTTGCAAACGGAAAAAAATATTTTCAGTTCTAAATTTAGTACTAAATTAATGACTTAATTTAGTGCTAAATTTAGTACTTAATTTAGTATCGTGACATACAGCCTTAATACAATACATTGAGTTTAATTTTCAAGTGATCTACACCCTTACTTGTTATTAAACCTTTCTTTACTTGTCACTGTCACTCGAAGATCAAACTCACATACTTTTCAAATCAAAATATGTGATCAAACTTCAGTCTATCTAAAAATAATTAAGGGCAAGTTCAACTTCGTTTGACATATAATCAGGATTTTTTTTAGGTTAGAAAATTGCATTATCGATTTTTTCATTCAAGTAATACAAGACGTCACTTTAAATTTCTATCTCTTTATGTCAACAAATATGTAACATGATGAATTTATAAAACGTACGTCACTAATGAATATGTGGCGGCAACTGACGGCAACACTGTTAGCTACTCCATGGCTACTTTGATCGAGTTACATAAAATATCAGTAACTTGCCCTTAAGTCCTAGTTCAAAGCGTTGTCAATGACAAGTGACTGCGACTTTTTTTATCACAAAAATACAGCTCTGAACGATATTTTTTTTTTAAAATTGTTTTTAAAAATGGGTTCAGAGTACGGTAAAGAATGGTGAAAAGTATATAGGTAGTTAGTTTTACTTTTAATGCATAATATTTTAATAAGTGATATATGTATAACAAATATTTAAAAGTTATGGACTTTTCACCATTTTTTATAGTATTTAAAAGTTAAAACGCAAAATACACTATTTTATTTTTGCCTAATTATTTCAAGAAAGTTGTGTTAAGATTTAAAAATGTACTGTCCATAAGATGCTGCCATCTGAACAGACGGAATAGCCAATTGAAAGTAAAACACGCTGGTTTAAAAAAACACAATTACAGATTTTATTCAGTATCTTGGAACATGAGATTGTCTTGGAAATATACATTACTTTTCCATTCAATGTAAGTAGAATGGTGATAACAGGGCCGACGAGAGGGGGAGTAGCCGGGACAATTTCCCAGGGCCCGAGTTGAAGTAGGGGCCCAGCAGCGGCATAAGGGGGGCCCAACAGCTGTAGGTGACGACGTTTTTTTTAGAGAGTTCACTAAAAAGGAGAAGTTTCTGCTTAAAGACCTTTTTTTTAGAAATGTGACCTGGAAAATTGTCACAGGGCCCGACCTGGCTCTTTCGGCGGCCCTGGGTGATAATGATAAACGTTGGTTCTTAAAAATGAGACAAACAAAAAACCGGATTCAAGCTTTTTGTTTGAATGAATTAATAAGAACGCTGTTAGTGCTCCCTTTTAGGTTTATGATTTGTATCCATCGCTATGACAGCTATATCCATGCTCGCATTTCAAATCACTTAGTTGCAACGCCTGAGTGAGAAGTATTGCTTCAATAAAGAGACAGAAGGTAGTATTATTAACATTATAATCTCAATTATTTTTATTTCTATGTTTACTTCAAGCAGTACTTTTCTTATTGGTCTCATGATGGTCAGATGTGACCGAAACTAGTTGCCTTATTTAATTATAATGTTGTGCATTGTTTAATTATAATTATTGTGGCTAAGATTTTGAGCTTTTCTTTCATTGCATAAATTTAATCAATATGTCTGGTACATTCATTCCTTTTCTGATAATGGTTGTATATTTTATATTAACAAACTCTTGAGTTGCCACCTTTAAAGAAGCTTGTAGTCCAATCATATTAAGGGTTTCACCTCGGAATGAGCGATAATAAGCTGAAAACTGCGTCATAAGTTATTAAAGGTCAAAAGTAACAAAAATCGGGTTTTCACTTTTATCGTGGTTTCTATAGCTCCAATAATGTTAACATCTATTATAACAAGTATTACAAATTAAAAATTTAAAAAAACCGACTTCAAAAACGTGCAGATGCCATCACCACATTTTAACCAAATTTATATGGGACCACCCCGGAGGTACCCCCTTACTAACAAAAAAAGAATCGTATAAATCGGACAAGGTGGTAAAGCATTATCGCTAAACATACATAAAAAATGAAGACTGAGGATTTTCTCATAGATCCAATTATTAGATTTTAACCAAATTTATATGGGACCACCCCTAAAGTAGCCCCTTTCTAACAAAAAAAGAATTATTGAAATCGGACACCGTGTTAAAAAATTATCGCTGAAGATACATAAAAAATGAAGAGTTTGAGGATTTTTTCATGGACCCAATTATTAGATTTTGACTAAATTTATATGGGACCACCCCTGAAATACCCCCTTTCTAACAAAAAAAGAATCATTGAAATCGGACACCGTGTTAAAGAATAATCGCTGAACATACATACATAAAAAAAAAAAAATATCGCGACGAATTGATAACCTCCTCCTTTTTTGAAGTCGGTTAAAAATGGTAGAGTTTGGAATTTGCGACTCATTTTATTTTAAACATTTTTTTCAGGCTCTTAACTGTTTTTGATATAAGGTGGAGAGCTGTATATTTTTTACAATTTAAATTAAAATGAAGTGAAAATTTACAAATCTCCAATAATTTAAAGAAGTATTAATTTTCTTCTTTTTTCCTTTCTCTTCTTACTCTTCTTCTTTTTCTTCTTCTTATTCTTCTTCTTCACCGTCAGTCTTCATAGTCATCTTCCAGACGTTTGAAAATTTCTGTTTCATTGTCATCATCTTCGATGTCTTGTATCATTGTTTCCAGTCCTTCTAGAATTTCCCTGTCAAATGCACTCTCTTCCTCGGGGTTACTTTGCAATAAAACAGCAATTACACTGGCCACAAGCTAAAGTGCATTGCAACCCCGATTTTTTGCACCCGCAGCGTGCACCACATCCATTCTCACAATTACAAAATATAGTCTTAAGTAATTCATCTGGAGCTGGTGGTAATATTGTCATTGGCTCCAGGAATTCACATGCCAATAGATACGGTTTATATGCTGTCGGTGAAAGATTAGACAAATGGACAGGTTTATAAAATGATCGAGATTCTATCTCTCTGTATCTGTAACGTGTGGAGGGTGGGTTACCCACACGGCACTTAGGCCTCATTAGGCCCATTGTGCATCCTCTTAAGATGATAGCCGCTTCCTAGCTCATGAGCCAGCCTACAGATTTAATATAGC